GGCCATCAAGAGACTATAATATTGTTTAATTGTGATTAGTATGACACGAACCGAGGAATACGTGTTAATGTTGAACACGGAATTGTTGATGTCAATCCAAGGTTTAAACTTTCAACAGGGGAGTCATTTTGCCTTGCTAGTCAAGCACAACAAGTTTATTATACTCCATATCCGGCAGCCACGGATAGAACTACCCGGGGATGGTTGGCAGCATGTAAAATCAAATCTAGACATGTAATTGAGACCTCATCTACCTCATCTTCAGGAGAGGTTGATGATATTTTTCAAGATGATGAACCCTCCATAATGTAAGGCTCTTCATTAGCTATAGATTTAACTGCATACCAATCACTTCAACTATCTGCATAAGGTGTTACAGAAGTTGAGGTTGATGCTAATACATCTAAAGAAGAGGAGGACTATGGAGAAGAAAAAGATTCAGAATCATCAGGAAATAGTGATAATGTTGAGGATGGTGATGATAGCAATGATAGTGATGATTAATTGAAACATCTGTATTATTACTTATTAAATATATGTATTAAAATTTCTTTGTCTTACATATATTGTTTTATCAAGTTATATATTTTTCATTTAAAATAGAATTATTGTATGATTGTTCTAAATTTGTTATTTATTATTTGTATAAATGTATTAATAATTATTTTGTTATTCATTTTCAGGATGTCTGGAAATCCTGCAGGTTCAGCAAGGAGGAGATCTTTCTCCTCAGGATCACAAGAGCAACACAATTTTAATCACCCACAGCTGCTTACTGATAGTAGCGTAGCTCCGAATATACAGCAAATGATTGATCCATTAATGAATTATAATTTTGCACCTGATCATGAGAACGAGGGCCCTTCATCCTCGACGGGAAAAAAGGACGGAGCAGGAATTTCAAAGGAATACGCCATCCAGAAAATAGAGAGAGCAGGAAATGGGTTAAACTCACTGATGATAAGCTCCAGTTTGCTGATCCAAACATCCCTCGGGCTATCACTTCACTGTGGAAGTCACGTTTTGATGGCCCCTATTTCACATATGAGCGTGTCCCCCAGAGCAAGATTGCTGAAATTTATAATTATTTCAAGGTAAGATTAAGTTTTAGCAAATTTAATAAAATGAATGGATTTAGCAATTTCTAATAAAAATAAATAATTTCATTACTAAATTAGAATTTACATTTCTTAGATATCTAATGTTATTTATTTCTTATTTTGCAGACACTTTACCAGTGGAATCCTGCAGATAATCGCCATGTGCGAGATGCATTCCTAAATTGTATGAAACATAGATG